CTCAAAAATTAGACAATAATTATATAAAATCAGGTCATAAATTGGATGATTATTGTATGATTGCCATACAACTATTGTGTGATTTATTGCAATTTTTAGCACAATTATTGTATGGTCAAATATACAGAAATCATAGTGAATTTAATTGGATGTTTTTTCAACAAAAATCACACAGGCTTTTTTCATAGGGATATATTTTGCTAAATAATATACTTATTTTCATTTCAATAAATCAACTGTACTATAATCCATCAATATAGTTAAATTTAAATTTAAACTGTTGCTAAATTTATTAATTCATTTTTTTTTTGGTTTAATTCATTCAAATTCTTTCTTAATGAATTTATATCTTCTTTCATCATATTAGAATTTAATTGAATTCTGGTTCCTTCCTGAGAATTAGTAGCAAATTTAAAAATTTTATATTTATCAAGATTGAAAGAATTCAACCTAAGAATATTTCAATCATGAGGTAAACTTCCAACTCTTTATTTTCCTGAACAACATTCTTTAAGGAATAATAATTTTTGTTCAGCTCTAATAATCCATCATTATATTTTACAAGAATACTTTGAAATTCTTTAGTATATTTGTCAATAAATTTAGAGGTTTTTATATCTTCAATAGAACCAATAGTATCTTTTTCCTTATTAATGGAACTTTCTAGATGATTACAACAATTTTGTAGTTTTTTAATAGCTTCTTCTTGTAAAGTTAGGAAATCACCCTTAACTTTCAGAAAATTATTGACTTGATTGAGAATCCGTTTTTTTCTATTGGCATTATAAGAAGCTGAAATTCTTGATAATTCTTGTTGGAGTTCATTCATCTCTTTTTGTTTAGCTTCTTTTTCTTTATGAATTTCCTTAGTATTTTCTCCACTAGTTAATTTATTTATTAATTCCTTTTCAATTTTACTCAATTCTTTTTCTTTGTCTTTTAGCTGCTTAATACGTTCTTGATCAAGAGTAACAAGTTTCTTTTCTAATTCATTTATTTTATCATCTTTTATCTGTAAAGCTTGAGTTAATCGCATTTTGATTTGTTCTTCAATAATTAATTTTTGTTCTAATTGAGCAATTTCTTTTTCTAACTTGGTTTTCAATTTAATTGTAAGCTTTTGTTCTTGTGAAAGACCTTTTACCATATTACGCAACCTGATCTTTTCTTGTTCTATCTGTTCACAATTAACTTGGGACTGACTTAGTTTGTTTTTTAATTGTTCTTTTTGTTCAGTTAAGCTTTCTTGCTGAGATTTTAATTCTTGAATATTATCTTCTGTTTGAGTTAATTTTTTTTGTAAATCAAATTTTTCTTGCTTTAACTGACTAACTTGAATTTGAACTTGCTGATTAATTTGTTTATTTTGTTCCAATTGTTTAGTTAAATTATCAACTAATAAGGATTGCTTTTCATTTTGCAGGTCAATAATTTGGGTTTGGAAAACATTTTCTTTTTCTGCAAATTCTTTAATTTGTATAGCTAAATTAAGCCTCAGATTTTGATTATTTTGCTCAAATTTAAAATTCTTTTGTTGTAAATCATCTAATTCATTTTCTAAGTTAAGATTTTCTTCCTTTATTTGAATTAATTGATTTTTAAATTGAGAATTTCCTTGTTGCAAATTAATTAACTCATTTTGAGAACTTTGATAATAAGTTTCAGCAATCTTTTCTAATTTAAGATTTTCTTCTTCTATTTGTTTATAACCAATTTGAGATTGATTTAATTGATTTTTAAATTGATCTTGCTGAAATTTTAACTCTTGAATAATAGTTTCTGTTTGGACTAATTTATCTTGCAGATTATTTTTTTCTTGATTTAGCTGACTGATTTGCTTTAACTGTTCAGTCAGCTTGCCATCTAAAGCTTGCTTTTCACTTTGCAGGTTTGTAATTTGGATTTGTAAAGTACTTTCTTTTTTTGCAAATTCTTCATTTTGTAAAGTTGAGTTTTGTTGTAAATTAATTAATTCCATTTGAATATTTTGTAATTCATTTTGAGAACCTTGATAATTTTGTTTTAATTCAAGAAATCCTTGAAAACCTTCTAGAATTTCATTTAATTCTTTACTAGTAAAATCAAGTAAATGACTTGTACAGCATGCTTTTGGATGAGATTCTACAATAAGGTTATTATACTCAATTGGTGCATTTATAAATTCAGTAATATTGCTTTTTAATTCTTTATTGATATCTTTAATTTTCTTATTTGAAGGATGGAAAATCCAATTTTTAATAATATTCAAAACTTCTTTAGAAGATGGCCTTTTTAATGGATCCTCATCCCAGCATTTTTTCATTAAATCTATATAACATTGTGGAGTATTTTCAATAACTTCAGGACGTTCACCTTTACAAATACTTAAAGCAAGTTGGAGATTATGTGCTTTATCATTAAAGGTGGAATTTTAGATGTAAATTCCCACATAATTATAGAAAAACTATATATATCGCTATCTTGAGTATAAGGTTGACCTCTTAAAATTTCAGGTGCTATAAATGGTAAAACTCCATAGATATCATTTTCTTTTAAAAAAGATCTTGCAAGTTGAAATAATCCTAAATAATCACTAATAAAAATTTTACATATGTCTTTTTCATATTTGTTACATAAAATATTACCATTATGAAAGTTATAATGAATAAGATCATTTTTATGAATATCATTAAAACCCTTAATAATTTGATATAAATAAAATAATTTTTGTTCCCAATTTTTTGTTATTTCTGTTAAACAACTTTTTAAACTACCCTTATTTGCATACTCCATTATTAACACATAATTCAAAGTATCTGGATCTTTTGTAAATCCATATATTTTAATAATTTCATCTGAATTAATAATTTTCCACTATAAAAAAATAATATTTAGTTAATTAGTATAAATAAATTATAATATTAAATAAAAAAAATAATAATTAATCATACTTCATTTAAAAATTTATTTAAACTTTCATCTGAATTATTAAAATCATTAAAATATTTAAGAATTACTTCAATACTATTATATTTAGCTTTATATATAGCAGATAGTACCAAACCCAAGATATTCAATATTTTTAAATTTATTATAAGGAGTCCATTTTAATTTTTTTTTAGAAATAAATTGATCCACAATTTCACTTCCACTAGTACCAAATCTTAAATATAAAAATTATATTATATTAAAAATTAAAAATTTAAAATAAAATCAATTAAAAATTCAAATATTAAATAATATTAATTATACTTACTCTAAATAAAATTATAAGATTTTAATATAATAATTAATTAATTAATTTAAATTTTAAATAAATAGTACTTAATAACTCTTATATGATCAATCATGTCAGGGATATATAAAATTCATGAATATGGTCTTATTCATGGTCATTTACACGAAGGTAATATTTTAGTTGAATGCGATAGAAACATGCATATTGGACGCAAAGGAACCATTATTTAACACAAATTCAGAAGGAATTTTTGAGATTGTGCCATTTGTTGCCCCTGAAATTTTTAAAGGAAGTGAGCCAACTTAAGTTTCTGGTATTTATAGTTTTGGTATAATAATGTGGATACTATCAATTTGTAATCTTCCTTATTATATATAATAGACAACATGGCCGTTCATTTATTATTTTCAAACCCTCTGAGGAGACTCTCACTCTTTATGCTCAAAAATGTTTAGGTGCAGATCCACTCAAGAGACCATCAGCATTCGAATTACTATATATTTTACTTTGAAAAATTGTAGTTGTACTTAGTTAATTTGACGAAGCAAAAATCACCAAATTTAGTACTAAGAGCTATATATAAAATTAATTCCATTATTATATAGTGATGCAATCTAATTATCTAATATAATAGAAATTTAAACTTAATCTAATTCAGAATGTTTAAACAAAACAATATGGTTACAGTACGATTTCCTGAATGCTATTTTCCTGAATATAACTTTTTCTGAAGTCAATTGCTTGAATGCTAATTTCCTGAACTGGACGTTTTCCTGAAATATACAATTCTCGAATCCTTATTTCCCGAACTCTGAAATCATATTTCTCGAATCCTGATTCCTGAATCCCAATATTCTGAATGGGCAATTTCCTGAAACATATAAACTAATATGCAATAAATTTTGTTTATTGTTATAACTTTACAGAAACTTTTAAAATCGAAACCATATATTGACCATATCGAAAATTTATCGTGAAACCTTTAATCAAGATTTGGTCACGATTTAGTCTCATAAAGTTATAATTTAGTATCGAAGTCGTTACTGCACATTAAGACGATCGTCAGCTGATTTGATCGAAATTGTAAAAATGGGTTATTGAAATTTGTAAATAAATGTAAAATTGTGTTTTCGAATTCGTAAATAAATAGTAAACTATTATTAAATATTTATTAAATTATTCATTTTGAAATTGTGAAGTTTTAGAAAATAATTAGTAAATAAATAGTAAACTATATTAAATATTTATTAAATTGTTCATTTTGAAATTTTGAAGTTTCAGAAAATAAATAGAAAAAATACATATTTCGCACATGAATTATATCTAAAATTGATATTTCATCATTAAACTACTAAAAGACTTTTGCCAGTCTTTCATTCGTAACCTAATTGTATTTCAAAAACATGCATCAATTATGTCTTTCACGAAATTTTATTTATTCTTACTGGTTCTTATGTTAGAGGATAGTGATATAACTTGTTTATACAAGTCCAAATTCAAAAAAGATCCAAAAAAGTCACCTAAAAGAAAGTGTAGAATGTTAACAAACATTTTGTTAAAAATATTAAAAACATTAAAATAACTAAAAAGAGGTCAATACTTTACCAAAGATATCACATGTCCGGTATCTAGCCATTGCCCAAATCATACTACTTTGCATTCAATATTTTTAAGGATACCACTACCTAAAAAGAGAGAAAAACAAACTGTTAATAAAGTTTGTTAAAAAAAATCCATGTTTAAAGAGACTTCTAGCATTTCCCATCAGAAATCCTATAGTTCTCAAGTCGTCTAAAAAAAAAGATAAATCAATAACATTAGAAATCATTTCAACAAAAAAAAAAAAAAAAAAAAAAAAATTTTACAATTTCATTCTTTTCTAATTGTTGTTATTACTTGTCCCGTTTTTTTTAATTAAAACGCAAAAACTTTTACATTCCTTTTTTTNGCATTGTCCTAAAACATTATTTTAAATATTATTCCTTTTTTGATAACGTAAGATTATTTGGAATTTTTAAGGTATTGTAACTGTCTCTTATACACATCTAGATGTGTATAAGAGACAATGCTTTGTGATACTTTTTGAGTGATTTATCTTCTTAAATGCGCATGATTCATCTAGAAGACAAAACATTAGCAATGTTTTGTTAAAAAAAATTATAACCAATTAAACGAAAGGTGATTCTTTACCAAGATCCCATACGTTCAGACCCAAAAACAAGCTGTCTAAAAAAAAAGATAAAAATGAAGTGTTAGTAACCATTTCATTTGAAGAAATGATTCAAAAGAAAAAAAATAATCAAAATCTGACATTCAAAGACCTGATACTTCTTAAGCTTCAAAATCCAATTTTGAGCTGGTCACCTGGTCCATAAATAATAATTTTTTAAAACTTTCGAAAATGTCTTAAAGTTCTGAACCAGTTTCCAAAATATTAGTTTTTGAAAAAAAAATTGCCTGGAGTAAAAAAAAAATTTAAAAAAATTATTATTCCCACGTTATGACCTGAAGAAAAGTCACTTAAAACAAAAGAATTAAATTCGAAAGATATATAACCCCAATTTCTTTCCCATGTGTCTATCCTGTCTAATAAAAAGATAAAATTTGAAATGTTAACATACGTTTCGTTAATCAAACATGAGATCCCACGTGTCCAAAGAGACCTGAAGAGTTCCTAAAAAAAAAAGAACTGTTAGTAACCGTCCATTAAAATAAATTTTAAAAAGAAAAAAAAAATTTTCTAAACTCACATAGGAGACGCCTAAAAAATGAAATTTTATAATGTTTCATTATCGTTATAGAATTTAATCTTTTTTTGTGAGTTTCTTCAACTCTTTTTTAAATAAAATACGAGAGAAAAAGGAAAGGATAAGAGAAGAAAAACGAAATTTATTTTTTTATAAAAAAAAAATTAAAAATATGATAGGACCCCGAAATATATATGTAGAGGTCAGGTCCAGAAGTGGTCCAAAATACGCATTCTTTCAGGGCCGGAATTACGATAATTTCAGCTATTATCTAAATTAGGAAATATTATTTTGGCTGGGATTATCCATAAAAGGAATGATCTACATGATTTTTTGACTCATTATACGCAAACTCTGACCTGACCCTTTTATGTATATTTCGGGGTCCTAATATGATGGGTAAAAAATATAAATTTTTTTTTTAAGCAAGTTATAAAACAGAGTTTTTTTAACAGAAAAAAAAATCTTTTTTTAAAAAAAAGATATAAAACAATAAAGGGGAGAAGGAATGAAGAGAGAAATGAAGGAAAGAAATGGGAAATGAAAGGTAAAGAACGAAAGGGAAGATTTTCACTGGAAAAAAAGTTTAAAAGTTAAAAATAGTTTATTTTTATATTAATGATTGTCAAGTTAAAAAAAGTTTAGATCACTAAGATCACTATAGTTATTTTATAATCTTACATGTATCACATGATACAGGCTTTTCCCGATGTTAAAAATCATCAAATTTAAATAAAAAATATGAATATCTTCTGCATCATAAAAATAAAAATAAAATAAAAAATATGAATAAAATAAATTGGCAGATTCATCTCTAAATAATATTTAATACTTATTTAATACATCTAAGAAATATCTTAGATTAATTTTCACCACTAATTCTCGATGTTATTTACCACCTATTTACCACCTATTTACCACTTATTTAATAGCATTTTACAACTTCGTAAAGATATGTTATCAACACTTTCACGAGATCATTTGATACCATATCATCACGTGTTAGATAATAGATCGTTGTGATTTGATGGCAATTTCTTAACTGCATGGTAACAAATCACGGGTTTCTGCAAAGAAGTATTGCATCATAATTCAATATATCTATTTATTTAAGGAGATCAGATGACAATATTATTAAAAAATTTTAAAAACGTCATAACATTTATTGGAAATTGAAATGACTTTGGACAAAAAACTCTTTCCCCTTTTTTTACATTTTGTTAATTTTCCGCAGTAATTTTTGTACTAGTTAGTTTTTTTTTCAGTTTCGACTTGAAACGCTAAAGGGGAAGAGGCCCAAAAGGGCGCCTCTGGTTGTATACGAGGTTTTTAGTTAGTATTTTACTTACACCCAAGGGAATATGACTTCTTCAAATTCTATAGTAATAGATTGGTCTGCATCTTCATCAACACACTCGTTTATTCGGATAGATGACCCTTCATTTTCACAAGATATTTCTCTTTATCCAACTACAAACATTGACTCTCAAGTTTCTCCAAATAATAATAATGATGGTTTTCCAATAAAAGATTTTTCTTCTATATCTCCCATTTCTTCAACGACGACTCCACTTAATGTCGATAATTCTTTTCTCATTTCTTTCAAGAAATTTCACGTGACCAGAATCCACAAAACCGGTTATAACAAGATTTACAAATTTAGACGTTCAAAAAGTTTCTTTTTTGAGATTGTTGATCACCATTTGGACACCAATCAACTTCATTTACGGATACACACAAATGATTATCTCATGTCAACTACCCCTATTAAGTATCATTCCACAAGTGCACTACCGAACGCCAAATATCAAATTAGCAAAGGTCTTCAGCATTTTTTTTCCTCACAAAGAGTTATTCCACGTCGTATTCAACATAAATATTTTGATATGATACGTCAAAAATTATTAGATAGAATCACGTTTATCAAGTCACGTAAGAATAAATTCAACAATAATAACGCAATAATGAAAACTTTTTTCAATTTCTCGTACAAAAGATATAGATTTCATTTTGGTATCTTTCTCCCTTGCAACCATATAATTGAGGCAAAAGGCTTATCTATTCCACCTCGACCTTGTGAGGTTCCTTCTCCTATAGTTATGTCTAACAACAGACATGGATGTGGCTTACATTTTTTCAAGAAATACCCAAATGGAATAGTTCTTGTACGAGATGAAAATGGTGATTTTACACCTAAGAATCAACATCAGAATAAACAGCTCCATGCTAATTTGACATTCGACCGATGGATAAAAAAAGAATCGAAATCGATATTCTCTTCAAGAACGGGCATCTCTTATAACTCAAGATATATTGTCTGCAACTCAAATCGTAAATTCAGACCTGGACATACTTACATTTATCATAAACTTATGAATAACTTCCAAATAACTCCAAGTCCAAATCCGAGGACAGCTAGAAATCAGAAAATTAGATTCAAACGTTCTTATCGTCGTATCTTATCGCAAGAAGTTATTAAACCATGCGCCGTCTCCAGTACTTCAGTACTTCAACGAAACTGGCCGCAGCTAAAAAAGGACGATTCCTTTTTTTACCATCTCAAAAATTTACGACTCCTCTCAAACACTTACATTATAAGAAGACTGTTGATATCCCTAAACAAAAGGATTATAATTTCACTATTCCACATTATTTCGGTACTAATACGAATACGACCAACCGACTAAAGGCTTCATATAATATTTCCATTACCACAGCTACGACTTCAGCTTCAGTACTTAACAATGAAATTTTATATACAGTTGCTCCTTATAATCCTATTCCGGACATGTTCATTCCTGTCAAATATCAGGATATAATACCGCCTGATCCTATTTATGATAATTTAGGTTCTTTCATTATCCCTGGTTCTAGGGAGTGGTTTACTTATATGTATCAATTGGATTTAGAGACCCGTGATGAACGCCTTGGAAAAGCTGATGATGCTAAATTTGCCGCTAGAATGGATGAACTTTATGCCAAATCTGTGGCTTCTAAACTTCGTTATAAACACTATTTAGAAGAACGTTCAAAGGAAATTACCGCTCTTCAAATACAAGAAGAGATTAGAATACAAGATTTAGCCATATATCACGGCACCAGTCCTAAACATGTTAAATATTGGCAACGACAAGTGTCTGATCTAACCGAATGGAATAACACTTATCATACATATATGTCAACTCCTCAATGTATTAGACCATCCGAAAAAAAGAAAAAAAAGAAAAGCAAAAAGAAGAATCTTTTACAATCGGAAATGGATTCTTTTCTTATTAACTACCCTAACGCTTCGCTCCCTTTTACTTTAAAGTGTAATACCATGCGCTCAGTGTTTGATTATAAGGATAATATACTCCCCACCAAGCCATACACGTCCGACGACACCAAAGAACTTGAAAACCGTCCTTTAAAACGTGATGATCATAATTTTGATAATAACTCCAGGTCTTTTGGTATTCCTAAATGCTCCCGTCTAGATACTCTTTTAGCTCTAGATTCCAAGCAGGCAGGATCGTCTAAATAATTTTATTAGTTTTCTCATATTTGAAATTTTAGTTTAGTGTTTCATTACTTTGGAATCATTTTTTGTATATAGACGTTGTCTATTTCTTTTTTATTTTTCTCTCTTCTTCTCTTTATATCTATAATGATCGTATATACAATAAGAATAGTGTGAACCATTCCACCTATGACAGTATTTACAGGTGGTGGCTTAGGCCAAAAGAAAAATACGGATCAACTAACTTTTCTTTTTTTAGATTAGCTTTTTTTGATTGTTCCCATTTGATTTTTTAGCATAGTCCTACTTTATCAAATAGTACAGATCGAAGAGTGAGGTCCCGTAGGGGATGACGAACAAAGATCTATACACATATATTAGTTTCAAGTTTTTTTTTTCGAATTCTTTTTTCTATTATTTGTAATAGTCTGGGTTCTAACACTCTTTTAGTAATAAAATAAATAAAATATTGGAAATTGAAATTAGCTATTACTAGACATTTGTTAATTTCACAATATAGCAGTGATGGCAAATGACTAGGTCATTTGCCCATTTTGAGATGACCTCCAAATGACCTTCGAATGACCTAGTCATTTAGGTCATTCGTCATTTGAGTCATTTAAAATTAATGCTTTATAATTCAGGTCAAGTTAATGATGCCGGCCAGAATTATGAACTTCTAATATCATGTGAAAATTTTATCCATGAAATAGTGAAATTGTATGAATAGTTCTGGCCATAATTTTTAAATGACTAGGTCATTTGTCATTTAATGTTGAAATGACCCAAATGACACGTGACCAGTCATTTGAGTCATTTGAGGTCATTTGGGTCACTGGCCAACACTGCAATATAGTACATAGAAGAGTTACTAACAAAACACTTTTATCTATTATTTACTCTCTCAAAGTTTCACGGAAATTGAAAAATAGAAACATGTGAATAAAAGTATGTAAAATATTCGTATAAAAATTGTTACACGAATAATTACATCAAAATATTTTTCACGTGATAAAAGTTTATTTTTAATAAAGTTTATACAAATTTTTATTATAAAAAAAAATCAATAAAATAAATAGATTTTTAACAAAGTTACAAATAATAATAACTAAAAGCAAATAAATTTCAATGTCATATATCATGTTTTCATTATTATTAAATTTGTAACTGTTATACATAAAGAGCAAACATAAAATTAATTCTCATCAAGACATATTTACCCGAAAAAGATTAATAAGCGTGACTAACTTAGTTTTTGTTTGATTTTTTTTTTAATAATCAACATAATTTGTTTCACGATAAACATTTTCTTTAATAAATTTTTATGATACTTTTTTTTTCTAAATGATAATTATTTGATTTTTTTTCAGCAATTATTATTTGATAATACATATATACATATATATATCATAATATTTTTCATAATAGACTTGATCATATAAACATGCTATATTTTCTAAGTAAAAAGAATACAATTAATTAGTACAAAATAATTAACCGGTCACTGGGCGACTTCGCAATACTATTTATACAATATAGTGGAGTTGAATTTTTCTAGATGTTTTTTCATGGAGAAAAAAAATAAAAGAATTTTTTCTTTACAAAAAAAAAAGGTTAAAAAACAATATATTTGTCAATAATTTAATCCGAATTAATAATGTTCGTACATTTATTGGCTGACGATCATGGAGAAGCCCGTACCGATTAGGGATTAGAATCGATAATCGAATCAAAATCGAATCTCATTTGTTGAAGAGAAAATTGAAAATCAATTCAACATTGCATCAAAGATTAAATGCATGATTTAAAATATTTTCAAAAAAGAAAAATTGATCGATAATGGCCTTCAAAAACTCAAAATGACGAAATAATCAGCAAATAATCGCAACGATGTTATAGTGATTTACGGTTGGGTATTAGTAACGATATATAAATTCTTAATAGATTTTACAATTTTAATTCAGAATTTATATATTTATTGATCATGGAATTAATTATTAAAGCTTAAAATGGATTATCTTTTAAGGAACAAAAAATCGAATCTACAAAGATTCGATAATCGATTCCAATCCCTAGTACCGATCACATATATAACAATCATTCTTAATAAAATTAACCCCATTAAATATTTGATCCACAAATGGGTTGTTTGTGATTTGTCTTGGTAACTGTATAAGATAATTCAATGTGTTTGCATCCTTCGCATGTCTTATTTTTCGTTGAATTTTACGATTTTGAAGAGAACGATTATATCGAGGCACATATGATGATCGAGTTTGGGTTACATTTGTGAGACATTGTTCTTGTTGTTGTTCGGAGTATATGTCCGTTTCCTGATACTGAGAAGAACTATGTAGAAAAAATTGAATAAAATTAAAAAGAGAAATAATTTATTAAAATAAAAAGTAAAATTCCTTTTTAAACTAAATTCTATTAAAAGGATGGAGCTGTACGCTTTTTACCTCAAAATTTTTGAGGTCAAATGTTATAAGAGGGTTTTGACACACGCAGATAAACCTTATTAATGTCGCACCACCCTTACAAATATTTCTACCAAAAATAGAGAAAAAAGTTCCTTCTTTCTTAAAAACTTACCAATTTAAAGTTTCCGGATCGGCCCGGTTATGAGTTTGACCGAGGTAGTCAACAGATTGAGTGACAGAATAAGTGACTGACGGTTGTTCCATTATTTTTTCTTTATGAAAAATTATTTTGTACAATCAAGAAATTGGTTATGATATTTTGGTAAAAATAAAGTATTTACAAATTTTTTTTGTTTTTGTTCCCTCGAAATATTAAAAAAAGTTGATATTTTATTCGAAGTGAGAATTGAATCAAAATAATTTGGAAAAGAGAAGTGTGCAAAAAAAAAAAAATTGAAAAATTTTTGGGTTAACCTCCAAAAAGAGGGCTATTATATAAATTTTTTTTTTCTTTTATAATTGAAAGAAAAAAAAAACCAGCTCTGAATTGTAAATATAACATAAAAATAATATATTTTTCACATCAAAAAAAAAACAATGAAATTATAACCTTAGTCGGAAATCATTATCACTTTTTGGATTTCAGTCAGCGATTGCCTTTTAGGGCAGATCCCGTCAAATCTATTTAGAATTACGCAAATTATAAAAAGAGAACAATAGGATCGTCTACATACTATAAATGTATATAATTTGAAAGAATAGGATCAAAAAATCTATACTTTGCGTAAATTATGGGATTAATTAATTTCGATAGCGCTTCTTATATGCTTGCTTTTAGCTAGGTCAAAATAATGATTTATTAATTATTTTAAAAAATATATTACGTTCGAAAACTTAAACGAGTGCATGTGGCGCTTTTCAAGGTTTATTTTCATTTTATTTTTAAAAAAAAAGAATTTTAGAAGCTAAAAATTTTTTAAACTATCCGATCTACATTGCCTGGCCGGATAAGTAATAATAGAATTAACTTACCTATATTATTAAATAATTTTTTAAATAAAGAATTTAGTTAATTTAAATTATATGTAAATATTATATAAATAAATAAGCCGGTACAATTTAATTGCCTTTTTTTAAACCTGTCTTTTATATAGTACTATAAGTAAAGTTGATCCTCAAGTTTGAAAATTATGCCTACTATAAAATTTTTTAACATCAAAATAACTTTTGCTATAATGTACTATAATATAATATTAATATATTATTAAACTAAAGAACAAATTATGTACTTAAAATTTGGTTATAATTAAAAGTAAATAAAGAGTTAAAAACTTTTAATAAAAAAAAAAAAAAACAGGACGGAAATAATCTGCAAAATGATTGGCAAGTCAGTCATTTCGCTGATTTTTATAATACTTCGTAATAATATATTTAACGATTATGGTGAACAATTTTTATTTATTTAAAATATAAAGTATAATAAAACAAATTATTTTAATTTCGCAATAATATTTAAAATTTTTTTGTTAAAATCTTTATTATAACGATCAATTTGTGTAACACGCTTAATGAAAAAAAAGTTTTTACAGGGGTACATTTGGCACTAATTGTACGGTAACCGGTAACTTATTACCGGGCGTTGTACATATATCAATTTATATTATTCATATAACTTTCAATGAATCTCAAAATAGTATATTTTTTTTTTTCGCTATAAATTAATAAAATTATATATTTTTATTCTTTTTGTATGCATCCTTTGAAACAATGAAAAGAACTTAGAACGGACTGGAAGGTAAGTATTTTTTTTTAATTGAATTTAAGGAATTGTTTTTAACATTTCATCTCTTGCTTCTTTCTAGGGACTCCAAGTTTCTTAATATATATCCATCCGCACGCATATTATCCGTATATCCGCAGATAAAACTAATAAAATTTTTATACCCACTTTTTTTTTTGATTTAACAATTCAAAAAAAAAAAAACTTTGTTCATTATTAAATTTTGATAGAAGTTAAAGAAAAAAGAATGTTCCAACGTTTTTAGTGTTTAAATATTCACACAACCATATTAGGTATATGATTGGTTCAGTGTAAATTTCCGGTTTATTTTTGGAAAAGTGTTTCTTAAACATGGTTAAAGGTTTGGCAAAATCAATCATAAAAAATGTAAATCTATCACAATATGAAAAAGAAGAAAATCACCATTACGAACTTGTAACGAGTATTCATCCCGGTATGTACGGATTATCATCATCCATACGGATCGTTTCACTACTTTTATGTATACTAAAAATATATTAAATTTAATTAGTATCATAAAAATTTGGTTTGAACAATACTAATGTAACCAACCACAAATGCGTTCTTATTTCAAAGTCTTAATTCAAAAAAATTTTAGTATTTGATTTAATAAGGTTCTTTTAATAAAGTCTATTGGGAATTTTAATTTGAGTCCATTATGAGATTTTTTTTTTTTTTAAAGTATTTAAATGATTATGAAAAAATGATCAACTTTAAGCATTTAACGTCATAATTTGAAATTTCTCTATGTCGGCTGCAAAACTCAATTAAATTTTAATTTTTTTATACTGTATACAAAT